TAACTCTTCGGGATACAGTAGCGATCCCGAATCGTCCCCAAAAGTTCCTCGGTCACCACCGAGTCTACATTATGCCATGACTTGATGGTTTCAAGTACGATAGAGTCCTCTGCGGCCTCCAAGGGTGCGCCACCCGAAGATGAACTAATAAACTCTGCCCCCGGGCCCCCAGAGGATGACTCTCGCTCCCCGGCAACCGACCAACTAGAATAAGGAGACGAAGAGGAAGAAGATGAGGAAGATGGAGACATCTCGACCTTGAGGTTAGGAGGAAGGAGTCGAGGCATGGAATAGAAGGCTCGGTAATGTAGCAGCAATTGCTCTGGGAGGAGATTATAAAAGGGAGGCAAATCGACCACGAAGCGACGTTTGGGCTTCCCGAGGGAAGAGATGATCACAGCATTTAAAACCCATCATAACTCCTTGGATTCCCCTAGATTCTCCAGTTTGGAGCTCCCGCCGAAAGACCACTCATGACAAGGTCTCCCGCTAGTAGCCGCTCATGACGAGAGATCTCCTGCTAGAAACCGCTTGTGACAAGAGGTCTCCCGCCAGAAGCCACTCATGACGAGAGATCTCCCGCCAAAAATCGCTCGTGACAAGAGGTTTCCTGCCAAAAGCCACTCGTGATGAGAGATTTCCCACCAGAACCTGTGTTGCTCCACTTGGCATGCCATGTGGCACGATAGCATGCGCATGCACCCCAATGCGCCACCCAGTGCCCTACTAGTCCTAAAGTTGAGCCCGAGATCAGTCACTCAACCAACAGGTCCAGTCATTACCCGAGTCGCATAGCTTGGTTCCCCGACTTACGGCTCACCAGTCCTAAACCTAAGCCCGAGATCAGTTAGTCGGCCAACAGGTCTAGTCTTTGCCCGAGTCATGCAGCTTAGTTCCTCGACTTGCAGCTCACCAGTCCTAAACCTGAGCCCGAGATCAGTCACTCAACCAATAGGTCCAATCTTTGCCCGAGTCACGCAGCTCGATCCCCCGACTTGCGACTCGCTAGTCCTAAACCTGAGCCCGAGATCAATTACTCGGCCAATAAGTCCAGTCTTTACCCAAGTCATGTAGCTCGGTTCCTCGACTTGCGGCTTGCCAGTCCTAAGCCTGAGCCTGAGATCAGTCACTCGGCTAACAGGTCCAGTCTTTGCCTGAGTCGCATAGCTCGGTCCCCCAATTTGTGACTCACCAGTCCTAAACCTGAGCCCGAGATCATTCACTCGGCCAACAGGTCTAGTCTTTTCTTGAGTCGTGTAGCTTGGTCCCCCGACTTGTGACTCGCCAGTCCTAAACCTGTGCTTGAGATCAGTCACTTGGCCAATAGGTCCAATCTTTGCTTGAGTCGCGCAGCTCAGTTCCCCGACTTGCGGCTTTCCAGTCCTAAACCTGAGCCCGAGATTACTCACTCGGCCAACAGGTCCTGTCTTTGCCCGAGTCGCGCAGCTTGGTTCCCCGACTTGCGGCTCGCCAGTCCTAAACCTGAGCCCGAGATTAGTCACTCGGCCAATAGGTCCAGAATTTGCCTGAGTCGCGTAGCTCGGTCCCCCGACTTATGACTCGCCAATCCTAAACCTGTGCTCGAGATCAGTCACTCGGCCAACAGGTCCAGTCTTTGCCCGAGTCGCGTAGCTCGGTTCCCCGACTTTTGGCTTGCTAGTCCTAAACCTGAGCCTGAGATCAGTCACTCGGCCAATAGGTTCAGTCTTTGCCTGAGTCGCGTAGCTCGGTCCACCAACTTACGGCTCGCCAGTCATAAACCTGTGCCCGAGATCAGTCACATAGCCAACAGGTCCAGTCTTTGCCCGAGTCGTGCAGTTCGGTTCCCCAACTTGCGGCTCGCCAGTCGTAAACCTGAGCCCGAGATCAGTAACTCAACCAACAGGTCTAGTCTTTCCCCGGGTCGCGTAGCTCGGTCCCCCGACTTGGGGCTCGCCAGTCCTAAACCTAAGCCCGAGATCAGTCACTCGACCAACAGGTCTAGTCTTTGCCCGAGTCGCACAGCTCGATTCCTCGACTTGCGACTCGCTCGTCCTAAACTTGAGCTCGAGATCAATCACTCGGCCAACAGGTCTAGTCTTTACCCGAGTCGCATAGCTCGGTCCCCCAACTTGTGACTCACCAGTCCTAAACCTGTGCCTGAGATCAGTCACTCGGCCAACAGGTCTAGCCTTTGCCTGAGTCGCGTAGCTCGGTTCCCCGACTTGCAGCTTTCCTGTCCTAAACCTGAGCTCGTGATCAGTCACTCAGCTAATAGGTCTAGTCTTTGCTCGAGTTACATAGCTCGGTCCCCTAACTTGCGACTCGCCAGTCCTAAACCTGAGCCCGAGATTAGTCACTCGGCCAACAGGTCCAGTCTTTGCATGAGTCGCGTAGCTCGATCCCCCGACTTGCGACTCGTCAGTCCTAAACCTGTGCCCGAGATCAGTCACTCGGCCAACAGGTCCAGTCTTTGCCCGAGTTGCGCAGCTCAATCCCCTGACTAATGACTCGCCAGTACCATCCTACTTGGGCCCGGCCACCCAGCTAATCGTTCCAACCCTTCCCGAAGTAAGGGGCATAACCCGCTGAGCAGCCCCACGACAAACCAGCCCGACTTCCCCTCATGAGCAGGCAATACACACGCGGCACTCCGACCTAGGCGCACCCCTCGCCCTCTCGCAAGGACCCCACGGCACGTCTCGGGGAGGGGGGGGGGGTGATAAGGTATATTTTGGGCCCTGGCCACGTCACGACCAATGCCGCACGGGGGGTGGGGTGGGGTGATAAGGTATATTTTGAGCCCTGGCCACATCACGACCAATGCCGCACCACGCCATCGCTAGGTCAGCAAGAGGAGTACTCCCACGCGTGGAGCCATGATCCGTACCAAGGTATTCCTCGGTACATCCCATCCCGGAAAGCTTGGGACAGTGCCGTTCCGCGCATTCCGGGATGACGACCGCACAAAGGCACCTCCCCGCCCTTCAAGACTCGGCTGCCATGCCAAACCCACGTACGACCGACCCTCATATAATAGTATAAAAATCCCTAGCTGGCATCTGGCCAGAGGAGGCTAAAAAAAAAGAGAACCAAGCACTAACTTACTCGTTGAGAGGCTAAAGTCGGTAACCACCCGACGAGGGCCTTCTGTGCAGAACAGTGACCACCCCCCGAGGCGCGACCATCCCAATCGAGAGGTGTCTCCATACGGATCCGACATCCCAACCTGTGGTCGATCAATCTCGGCGACCTGTTCAGCTAATCATTGACTCTCGACATCGACTCGTGGATCGGACCGTGCTGACTCATCAGCCACGAAACATCAGTTCACCAGAAGGATTATTGGTAATTTTAAGAGCATGAAAATAAGCGAGAAAGAGAGAAAGATTAGAGTGTGTCTTCGCCCACTCAATTCAGAGTTACATAAGCTAAGAGAGAAAGAGAGTTCTTAATAAGATTCGAAGAGTGTGTCTTCGCCCGCTCATTACTATCCGAGTAGATTATTTTCTATAGCGATATACAATTTATATAGTAACAATGAAACATGCCATCTTGATTCTGTAACCAAAAGCACCATTTGCGGGACTCGCGGAATCAATTTTGGATCGAAAATTGGAGTGCAAGAGCATTAATCGGAGGAGTACGAGCTTGACTTTATCGAATCGCCTATGTAAGGTTTCTTCAACTGTTCTCAAAATATGTTACGGTCGCATGCTATCATATCATATATCCTCAAAACACTTCTTCTTATACATCTTTTATGTGCATTGAAGATAGGCAACTGTGTTGTTCTTGCATAATGACACTGCTATTCTCTTATCCCTCCCTCTTTTCTTTCCTCATGAGCTGATGTTGGATCTCTTCTTCTCCTCCTTTGATCTCTCATTGTTGGCCCATTAATAATGGCTCAGTGTGATCTTTGCAATTGTAGTTAGATCGACCTATACAACCAGCATGGTGCCAAGTTGCAGGCTTCTACACGTGCATATGGTTTCCATCTTCTTCTTTAGCAGCATTCAGAAGCTCTGCTCTCTATCTATCTATCTATCTATCTATCTGTTTGTTTATGAAGATTCTGGCTTCATCGGACACATCCATTTTCTTACTCGTGAAACTTTCCAATCATCTATATCCATAATATAAGCTAATTTGCAGTGGCATCTCTTCTTTTTCTTTCTTTGTTACCCCCACCGAAGAATCTAATCTAGCACATGATGGACCAATCCAAGTTAGGTTAGGCATCTGTATGCACCTGCAAGTTGCTGCTGTTGATTTTGTTGCTCGGATATATCCAGAAGAGCTACAGAAAACAAAGCTTTAGGCATCAGACCTCTTAATGTTGTTTATAGTCGATCCATGTTATGGGTTACTCTCTGTTGGATTAGTAGAATACATTATAGTTCTGTTGGTTTTTTGTCGATCTTTATGATCACAAGTTTTTAGGGTTCAAAGCCTGTGGAAAAAGCCTCAAAGACAGCTTTGCTCTGGCAGAGGCATCAAACAAGGGCTACTGTCACTACCAGCAACCCACATTGGCATTTGTGTAGCACTTAAACAAATATAAAGTAGCATTACTGTTTGTTAATTGGAGCTCCCGAGAACGGAGACCAGTAGCCCACAATCGATTGCTTTCAGCTGTTGTCAAGGATGTATGGTGGTTTTTGCTGCAGTAGAGAAACCAGATGATGGTTGGTGCAGGATGGCACAAGGTTTTGTGGGAGATCAGATTTGATGGATGAATAAAGAACGAGCTGAATGCTTGGTAAGTACAGATGTACCTATGCAAAGCTTTAAATTAAAGATGAATGCAGGTTGATGGCCCCATGAAGACACACAAACCTTGTACTATGTGGCATTGACATATCTCTCGACTCTTTCCTTCCTTTCATCATGTGATCTATCAAACAAAGTTCTGTCCAGAGATGTCTGTATGATGAGCCATCCTTCAATTCAGCTAGGAATGTTTCCTGATGATGATGTTTCAACAGACCTGCACATGCATCAGATGATGATAAGAATTCACAGTAAGAACATCATATAAGCTTTACAGATTCCTCTGATGGTGTTCGACAGATGTTCCGATGTGAAATGGTAGCTGAAACCCAAATCAAAAACCTCATCCCTACAAATTTACAACTCTCACAAAAAAACACAACTCTACATTGTGGTGTATCCATGTCAACAGAGCCTTGGCATTCCTCTGTTGCTGTGGTTCATGGACTTGGTCTTCACCATCTTCGACATCTGGCCCTTCATGTTCCTGCACGCCTTCTCCAGTTCCTTCACCCTGCACTGCATCCTTTGAAGGCTGAGCTTGAGCTGCTGCTTCTCATGCGGCGACTCCGGGGAGGCGGCCGGCGTCCGCGACGGGTCGGCCACGTCGGTTCCGATGTGCAACTTGGAGTGCTGCGAGACCAGCGCTTGGACGGCGACTCCCGGCGGCACCCGTGGGTTCTTTGCCAGGTCCTTGCAGGCCTCGAGTGTGAGCTTCTCGTAGTTGAGGCATCCGCACAGCCTTGTCCGCTCCTCGGTGGAGAGCGTTGGGTGTGACTGCCACAACACGAGCTCCATGATTCAGATGCTAGATCACAGTAAAACACAACAGGAATCTAACTCTCAGAACATGTTCTTCGAATCTGCAAGTGTAGCACTGGAATGGCATCTTCTTCACTGTTTATGGACCATGTAGCCAGCCACCCAACGATCATGGCTACAGGAAAAAGCATCACAAAAAGGCAGGCACAGATGGCCTGTCAATTCCAAAAAAAGGGGGAGGAAGAAGATGATTGAGGAGCTGAAGAACCCTTTTCCACCCACCAATCATGCCCACGTGAAACTTGCTCTAGACTCATTCAAGATCCAGTGGCAGAGAGCAGAAATATAGCAGACGACAAATCTAATTGAGGACATGCCTGAATTATGAACTGTTTATGGGAAAAGATTTGCAGTTGCATGAGTTCTTCAATCAGGAATTGCAGAGAAATCAATCATGCAAGCGAAAGCCAGAGGTGCCATGTTCTTACCTCGAGGTAGATGTCCAAAGCTCTGTAGACTCCATCAAAGCAGTCTCGAGCTGAATCCGGGAGGCTCTCAGCCACCTCGAGAAACTTGGACACCTTCAAGCTCTGGTCAGGAGAGATCTCCCCCAGGTACTTGTCGGTCAACCTCCCTACCTTCTTCAGCCTCTGCGAGGAGGCGCCACCACCCTCCTCGGTGCTCACGAATATTCTAACCAACCTCAGCACCAGGTTGACATCATAGACACCTCCATCGTGCCCTGACACCAAGAGATCATCCAGTGTGGCCTGGTCGAGCACGAGTCCCATCAGCCTCTCCAGCTTCTGCCTGCATTCCTTGCTGAGGCCCAGGCCTGAGACCACCCTCAGCACCCAGAACAGTCCTCTGCAGGAGAAGGCTGTTCTTCCCATCAGCGCCACTCCATGGACTGCAGTGTCGGCAAGACCACCGTACTCTTCCTTACAGTGACCAAGGTTCCCGCATCCGACGCCAGAGCATGGCCTCTGGACCACCGTCTTGAGGTAATGCAAGAGAAACCTGGTCAGGACGAGGTTCTTGTTGTCAGTACCATAAGCTCCGAGGGTCTTCATGATCTTTTCTATGGTGCTGGGTGCCAAGATGGTGAGGTCATCGAACCACCATTCCCTGTTGGAACAAGGCTTCATCGGCTCGGGGGTCTTGGTAGATGAGGAGCACCTGAAACCAGAGGTATCAGGCGAGGAGGAAGAAGATGAAGATGACGGAAATGGCGTTGCCGACAGGAGTGGCATCATCTCTGAATTGGCCGCTATCTTTGCCAGGAGGGATGAGACGAGCTTCTGGAGTAGGCCACAGGAGTCGGCAGTTGGGAAGAAGGGCTCACAGCTCTTCAAAGCTGTTAGGATGTCATTCCATGTCCAGTGGAACACTCCATCCAAGAAGGTCTCCGTCTGCCTCAAAAGATTGCAGGAGGAGACATCTTCAGTCATCTCAAGAAGAATGGCGGAGCAGTGGAGGAGACAGATGTTGGATGGCGTCATGGCGATGCTCCCATTGTTGTAGCAGAATCTGGACACCAGCTCAAAACCACATGCTCCTCCTGGAAACTCCATTATCCCAACTCCTGAGCCCTTTGGCTGGCTTCTCTGCCTCTCTTGGCTCACCATCTCCTTCAGCTTGCCCGAGAAGGAACAGAGGACTCTCTGCAATAGAAGACTTAGATTGCCAGTAGTGAAGGAGAGAAAGCTGGACGACACCACATGATGTGTGGGTTGAGGAATGAGTACCTGATGCAGGAGGAAGGTGTGCTGCTCATTGACATGAACCTTGAGATCACAGAGTTCCTGCATTGCTGGTGGGAGCCCGAATTGAATGATGCAAAGGAAGAGCTGGGGATAGATATAAGGGACCAAAAGGCTGTCAATTCTTGCGAGGAAGAGATTTTGATGCTTGCTGACATTACAGTGGGTTGATGGCTATGGCTGTCGCGTATGTGTTTGTAGACGTAGAAAGAGGTGGTTTAGTCACCTAAGTGACTCAGTAAGCCAAACCACTTCTTCAGTGTGAGGGTTGTGTGTTTGATTATGCTGCTGCTGCTGTTGTATTTGTGGTAGAAAATTGTATGGATTTTGTCTGGTGCTGGTGACAGGCACTGGAAGTCAAGCATGCTTCTGCAATGGTATTCCTGAATGGCCTTGTCATCTTTAGGCTTTTAGACCAGCGTATGGGTGGGTAGAACATGTGGGAGTTGGAGAGCCAAAATCCATGTCATTCATTAGGAGGAGGAAGAGGGGGGTCATCATGTGGACAACTTTTGACACACACAACCAGCTTCCTCCTCCTCTTGTCGATATTCTTGATTCTACAGATGATGGGGTTTGTTTACAGCTCCTCTTGGCATGAAAACAACAGCTCAAATCCAGCAAGTTGATTTAGTCCCCGGTCTTTGTACATCTAAATGCCATCAGCACAAATCTTCTCAGTAGGAACAATCCTCAGCTCTAGAAGATGACAGAGGCAGCAGCTCTCTATCCACCATTACAAAAGAGATTAACAAACAAAAAAAAGCATAAGTAAGCATTGGTCGTTTTGTTATCTGTTGTCCATCCATTGGAATCCCATTGACTGCTAGCTTTTACTTGCCATTGCATAGGCTGCATATTTTCCACTTCAAGACACAACCCACTCGCGTACATCTTTCTTCCAGCCATTAAATCTGTCTCTTTGCTAATTGCCGGTGATTGATGCTGCATGCAGTCCACAGCTCACGAGAGGGGACTCCTACCAGCGAGCGCAAATTAAGGGAGTCCGGAGGGCGGTCAGAGGAATGTTCTCTTCCGCTCACGGGCGTCACTCAAATTCCTCTCTGGTCTTTGTTGGCTTTCGCGGGTCATCTTATCACTGCTCGCCATGGCTCAAGTGCCGCTGGTGGGCAACTCTTGCTCTTCGATTGAGCTCCAGTTGGATGCTGTTCACGGACACTAAATCATCGTAAACCTCGATCGAGAAGAACCACTGGGAAGATGACAAAAAGGCGTGGTGGATCGTACAGCAACTTCACAGCAAAGACTGTAGCAGACGAGTGTTTGCATTCTTTGTTCGTTGGATGAGGACATGAAAGCTTCGGGTAACAAGTCCAAACGCAAGTGCATCAAAAAAGAGTTCATGACGACGAATGGAACCACGTCCTGCTGCATCTTTTTTTTCTCTCGTAATCTGTCTGTCTTTTAAGCCTCCCCGGAGATTTGTCCACGTGTTGGATGGAGATCAACAGCCTGGACATATATTATGTGAATATTCGGGACCAGAAAGCTATGATGATCTGTATGAATGATCGTGAGGTATCAACATGACAAATGGAATGGGACTCTTTGTCTGTCCTTCCTCTCATCTTCCAGAGCTTGATGAGTAGAAGTAATGGTGACATGATATGATCGGTTTACATCTTTTTGTAGGTGAGAATGGATAGCAGAGTAAAGCTTAGAAGGAGAAGAAGCAGACGGCAAGGGGAGTCGGTCTCAACTCCCTCTCTCAAAATTATTGGCTCTTGCTTTAGCGAGGCAACAAAAGGAATCCACTGCCTTGCTCAGAGGGGCAAAGGTCTCTCTCTCAGTCGGGGAAAAGAGTTCGAGAGTGATGGCTTGTTTGTCCATATTTCCTTAGACAAAGAAGCCATTTCTGAAGTCCTTGTATCATCAATTGTGAAACATGTTGCAGTGTTGCTCTGAGAAAACTTAGGCGATATAAATGCATACTTACCCCCACAAAATCAATATGGCACGTCTCTCAATTAAGGCATAGGCACATGAGGTCCTTCATGGTAGACTTAAAATGGTGTAGAACCGTATTGTATGCGATAAAGATTATATATATATATATATATATATATATATATATATATATATATATATATATATATATAATGCTCTTGGTCCCAGTGAAGCATGATAGGTTCTTTCAATCATCAAATCATACAAGACCAATCATTCAAGTAGGTCAAATATTATATGTTTTTTGATCTTTGGTATGCAGGAAGTAAACGTAAGAAAAGATTTGAAGTTCTATCATTAATCAAGTAGGTAAAAGAGAAACAAACTCCACTGTTATCAATTGTTAGTATTTTATTTTATTTATTTATATCCTTAATATCTTCTTTTAACTACACGAAAGATGATACTTAAGTGACAGAAACACCAGGTAGCGCTCACCCTTTTTACGGAATGATGAAAACAAGTAGAGATTTTTACCAAATATGCTACGGAAAACAGTTTTGAGTGAACAAAGTTATCGAACAAATCCACTTGTTTTTAATTAATGACGGAAAATGGAAACAGCAAGATCAGCAAAATGTTCAAAAATGTGTATGATGACTTCACATGTGAAGAACATCGGATATCATTGAGACTGTAATCAGTGACAACCTGATACTGATCAAACTTTGTACACAGACATCGATCATTTACCATGTAAGATTATATTTTGATACGTGAAACTTTAAAGATAATACAGAAGGCTGGCGTGAACTAATGCATGCACGAGATTATGAACATCTCGACTCCATTCAGGTTACTTTGGGGACATCATGTGACCACAAGGATCAAAGGCACATCAATTGAGATAATTTCAATATTGATTCACCAAAGATGTTGAATTCAGCAAAGTGATCCAAGTGTCTTGTTAAAAATGCACAAAAAATGCATGATTTGCCTGCCAATCACTTGTAGATCCACTCGCTAGAACGGCCCCCAGTTTCATCCATGTCTATGAAGATGCTGACTGCCTAAGACGGGAAAAGTTAAGTATTGTGAGAGCACAAGCAAAATGCATAAGACCCATAATATATCATACAGCTAAACTTAATCCAACAACTTCCCTGCACTTTCACGAGGAAACGTGTGTGAATCTTGCAGCAGGTTACACACAGAAAAATCAAGAATAATGTTGTAAAAATGTAAAGATTGTAGATTGTCTAACTAACAGTTCAATGAAGTTGGCAACTCAGTATCCAGGCAAAAATCAAACTATGATATTGCTAGCACTGACTGTAACAAAGGCTAGAGCTTTCCTTTTACTTTACCATTCAATCATGCCATTTTCTGTTGTGCTTGCCAGGCAAAAGACAATCAGTTGATCAGAGCATCATCTTCATCGGGACTAATTTATCAGGTTTAAGTGAAGGACATGTTGTAGGAATATAGAGCTTAACCAGATATCTTTACTTCTCTTTTTTTACCAATTCAGATACAAACTAAAAATAACATAGCAGCAGCCTGATGACTAATCGCATCATCATTTGACTGTTCATGTACAAGTCATACACAAGGCAAAGATTTTACCAGTCATTATGAGCAATTCGAAGTGGCACACGAGGCAAACAAGTCTTCACAGAATCAAAACTTAATCAATGACAGTTGACTCACGTGTAAGACCACCTAGGTGATAAGGATGTCAATGCTAATTGGATGAAACAAGTCATTCTAGCATATGGATCAATTTTCCTGTGGCTAATTTTTGAGAAGAAAGAATATGCTAGTGTCGTCATGGCTAAAACAATAAACCATTCATAATTATCCTGAAAGGTCCAAAATGCTTTATTTTATGAACAAATATTCATAGATCTGCCTTAAAACTTTTTGGTCGCAGTTATATAATACAAACTAGAAACAAAAGGTGCCTATTTCGCCGAAGGGTGGCACTTAAATATGGCAACGTTAAGTATATAAGCTTACAAGTCTGAGAAAAATAAATGAAGTATGCAGGAAGACTTTTCATGAGAGTACAACAAATAATCATCTTCTATATATGAGATGAAAAGACAGTACATAGGAAATATCATACAGTAATTGGAATCATATTTATGAGCTAACATATAATTTGAAAATAAACAAAACTATTCATTAATTCAATCATGCAAAGTCAGTCAAAGATATACTTTTCCTATTCGAGGACGTTCCTTCGATTTAGCAAGGCTATTCCGAATATGTGAGACAGCTCCCCAACACTTCAACGTATTTGCTATGTCATCAAGCCTCAATATATACTCCTCTTCAGTCAAGGGAAAGGATCTCTAAAGAAAGAACAAAAAACTAACATTAAAAATAAGATGTGCATACTGAAAGAAGACACCAAAATTGGAACTTGCATCGTTAATTTTGAAGTCTGTTGAAGGCAATGCTCAGATAAGTAAGAATGGCAAATATTAAGTATACCTGCTCCATGTATTTCCACATGACATTCATTGCCAGCAAGTTTCGTCCCATAAATTCCTGTACAAAATGGAAAACATTCATACTACAACAAGGGAGGGAAGTTTCTTAAAAGAGTAACACTATTGTAAAAAGTTTTATTAGCTCAGACTCATGGATTGCACAAGCACTGCACATTAACACATGGGAGATCAGATTTATTTGTTTCATGGGATTCAGATATGATATTTCCAGCAAGACACAAGTGATCACCTTATATCAACAAATTGGACCATGTACGATGACATCCCTGCACACCTTATATCAACAAAGTACCAGCGTAGTCACATGAGTGACAACTTCATTACACATAATAGAACACCTGGGAGAAATTTAACTAAGCCCATATTCTTTTTGCTAAGTACAAACTTGAGCATTTAACAATGATGGCATGTTACATATCTGTTCATGCTTAAAGGACATTATTCCATTGATGTTACACACGCTGTTGCACAAACAATAATTAGAATCCAAGCCGTATAAATTTTGCACCATATATTTCTCCATGGTTAAGCTCAATCCCAAGGTAAGAAAATACCTTCTTAATTAGTTGGACATCATATGATCTACCATACTTTTTCCTGATTAGAGTTGCAAGATCCGTTCCACTAAAAGTTGAATCATCTATTCCAATTATTCGCTCCAAATAATCACGGGATAACCCACCGTTAACCTACAAGGATAATCCCATAGTGGAGTTAAAATTTGTCTGAAATGAATCACATATGTCAATATATTACATGAAATTGATGATAAAGACGGATTATAGATGCTAATTTTTTATTTGAATATCCAGAATAAACCCTGACAAATAAAAGAATTGAACAAAGACATTTGACAGAAATACCTCTTCCTTTTTGGTTTCCGGGTCCTTCTCATCATCATCAGAGCTGTTTGATTCTGCTTCATCGCTGTTTGATTCTGCTTCATCGCTGACTGCTCTTACAATAACCAGCCTAGAACATCGTGTTCTTCCATGGATACT